AGCCTTATTGTGCTACAAACTAGGAATTAAGATAGGAACTACCGCCCCATGATCTTAGGAGCTTATCAACAAAAAACAGAAATGACTTATCTACTAAAACAGAAATGAAGACTTATCTACTGAAACAGAAATGGCTAAGGCTTATCCAAAATACTTTAACTAAACTACTGTGACCGAGTCTCCTGCTGCAAACTACTGTGACCGAGTCTCCTGCTGCAAACTACTTTGAACGAGTCTCCTGCTGCTATTGCCGCCTAGTGCATGCATGCACGTATCATTATCCTCCAAGAGAGTGCTCAAAGAAAGTGTATGGTTGATGATGGATCATCTCTTTTGTTGGATGTTAGCTTAGTTTAGGTTGTACTTGCACAAACCAGCAAAAAATATGCATCCACACCATAGTTGTCAAGGCGACTAGGCGGTTTTACAGTGTCGCCTCGCCCAAACACCTATAGTTTTGTATACTAGGCAACCACCCAGAGACTTAGGCGGGCGCCTAGGTGACTAGGCAGGCGGCTAAGCACAAGGCGGGCGCCTAAATCCAGCTTCAGTGCTCTTTTTATTTCCCGAAAAAACAGGGGCTTCTTCTCTTCCAGCCCAGCTTCAGTTCTTTTTTTCTTCGAAAAAACAGGGGCTCCGCCCCTATACTCCTCTTTCTCCTCCTTCCAGCTCAGATTCAATGCCTTTTTTTTTTTTTTTTTGAAAAAACAGGGGCTCCGCCCCTATTCTCCTCTCTTCTTCTTCCAGCCCAGATTCAGTGCTTTTTTTTTCGAAAAACAGGGGCTCCGCCCCTATTCTCCTCCCTCCTCCTCCTCCTCCTCCTTCTTCTTCTTCCTGCACTTATTATTTTTAACACCTGAACCTACTCCCTTCCTAGTTCCTAAACTTATAAAATAGTTTAGGTCAGATTCCATCGCCTAGGCGCCTGGGCGCCCCATGGTCGCCTAGTCTTGCCTAGTCGCCTTGACAACTATGATCCACACTTAGAATTAGGCTTCAACTCCAAGAACAGTGCACATAAATGAAGAATGAGGAGGCCTGTTACAGTATTTTCATTTCATGAGTTGCTATACTGCAATACACTTCACGGATGCCTATTTCTTAATTTAATCCAGTTGGAACACCATTGCTAAGTAATAAAGGAGTGCTTCAGGAATTTCTGAATTCTAACAAGTAGTTGCTGATGTTGAAAGCAACATTACCATTTCCTAGTCTAGTATAATTTATCAAGTCTTGGAAACAAGATTAATAATGAAGTTTTCTGTTTTTGGTTATTGCAGCAGCAAGGATTGCAGTTAGGAACAAAGAAACATAATTGATTGCCAAACGATTGAGCAACAAAATTCAATAAGTTGCAGATGGAGCAGCCTGGGATGCTAAAGGATAAAATGGGGCCTAACAGCAAAGATCTTTTAGAGTTGGAGCAAAACAAATCTTCCTCCTTAGGTGTCTTTCTCATCTCTGGTTTCTGATTTTAAGTTTTTAGGCCAGTGATCACCTTCTTTGCCTTCATTTACCAATGCAAGTTGATTCTGTTTCTCTTTTACATAATTTTTCATAAATTTCCATTTTTTGTCGGCTGTTATTTGTGATGGATTATTTATCAAGGAATTAGTGGCCATTTTGTTTTTCCTTGACCAGTCACTGACTTCACTATTTTTCCCTTTAGTAAAGTTGAATTGTTGATATGTATTTGATTGGATTTTGCAGAAGCTACACTTCTTGTTTGCAAAAAGAATTCACTGTCAAAATTCAATAAACCACACACCAGCGAGAAGCTTGTGACGGCTCCAGTTCCTAAAAGTCAAAGTAAGCTTTGATTGCTACTGCCAGTGTATGGATTTTTCACTTTTGTTTCTTTTAGGTGTACAAGTGTATTAATTGTGGTCCTGCATTTGATAAGCATGAGGTCCTTATGTTCTACTTTTCTGTACTTCTGAGTAAAACTACTACTCTAAGCATAGGCCTTCTCACAGGTTGCTGAACTTTTACTTGTAAAAGCAAGAGAATCATATAAGCTATGCAAACTTTGATATAGCATTAAGATTTCTTCTGTAAGTAAAATAAAATTTTTATTAAAAGAAAACTGAGAATTACAAGAAAGGTGACAAGAATTGACCCAAGAGAAGAAAATAAAAGCACCCCAAACCATGAAAACAACCCAACAAAATGAACATAACGTCTCATCTTCGTTGTACTCCCCCCCAGAAAACCACTGCAGCTTCCAATAGATGAAACTCTGGACATGCCAAAGTACGTCACAGGAAATTACAAAGTCTTCATCTTCATGGAAACTAAAGCAAAAATAAATAAATAAATAAATTCAGCCTAGCATAAAGATTTCCTTAGTTTCTTATGTAGGCTTTTATGGGTGTCATATGGATGGCTATCTCACAAAGTGAGTATATACTTGCACACACATTATATAGGTGGTCAGGCTGTCTGGTTTGTTTTTCTATCTAAAAATTTTCATTCAGGTTTAATAAGAATTAACAATGGTTTTTCTTTCTTTTTTTTTGATAGATTCTAACCAACTAGACTACAATGTATTTACAACGATGGTTTTTCTTTCATGAAGTCAATTCTCTGTTTTCCATCAATTCAACTGACTTTGGGGTTGTTTAATAACAGATGAAGTAGCCGATTATTGCTTTGTCTTTTAATGAATAGGTTATTCACCTTAATGGGTGAAACTATAGTTATCTTTTATTGAATAAGTTATTATGAGATTCTTCTTTCTCATCTGCTGTTGCCACTTCTTCTTGGGAAGAAAACCTGGTCAGCCACCAGTCTGGATTTTAAAACATTGCAATTACAAAGAAGTTGAGTGTGTTCAATTTCATGGAGTGGTCTCAATTAGCTAAGTTACATGTTGCAGATAGAAGAAAGTTAAGCTAGCTCACCAGTGACATACCCCAACTTCCCATGAGCACCAATAGCCATCTTTGCAGATTGTGACCATTCTAAATAGTTTGTACCATCTAACTTAACTGTAGTGATGGTCCCAGCCCCAAAAAAGTCTCCAACACCTCTTCCCCTTGTCCCATCTCACTCTCCGGTTTGTTTTCAACTCTGTGGCCCTCATTATTCCCAAAAGAGGGTTAGAAAATCACTTTGAGATGAAATAATAGGTATTTATCTCCTTCAAGCACAACAAACACCCTTCTGGTACCCTAGAAGCTCCTCCCTCCCAAGATTCCCTTTTCGCGGGAGCAGGAGAAGAGAGAGAAGAAGCAGCGCTCCCTCCAGAGGCCTACAAAACAGGTGGGACTTGAACCGCCCCCTTTAGAAAATTTCAAGGAACCCTAAAAAACTAGGGCTTCACTTCATAGGTCAAAAATGAAGAGTCCTACAAAAACAAGACTCTCTCCCTTTCTCCAGTTCTTGATTTTGGTGAAAAACCCTAGACCAGCTACAAGGCAATGCAGATCCACCAAAAAATTCCAAAAGCTGGGCTTACCTGAGGTCTTTGATCAGCCTCTCACCTCACCCTGCAGTCGGCCGATCTAGGGCTGCATGATGGAGCAGTTCAAGTAACCTTCGGTTTGCTTTGATACCAAGTAGAAGAAGATGCTGAAAGTTTTCAGCTAGAAAGAAAGAGAAGAAGTAGAAGAGAATGAGAGATAGCCAAAAAGAAAATAAGTTCTGGTCGTCCCCTTCCTTTGATTTATATGCTTTATAAAAAGAATGTACAAATACAAGAATATCCTCAGTAGGTCGGCTACTAGTAAGTATATGGAAAAACATAACTTAAACTAACATAAACTGATGGGTCTAAGGCCCAATAACTTCCTAACTAAATAAAGTAAATAAAAATAAAACAAAGCTGGGCCTAATATCTTAACATCGGCCCAATAACTCAACAGGGTCTTTGTTTGATTGTATCTCTGAGAGACTACAATTGAAACTTGAAAGCCTTTTGAGTTTTGAGTCTTCTTGACTCAAAATGGGAGGAGACTAGGAGAGGAAGAACCGAAGAAGCCAAGACCCACCCAAGAGTCCAAAACGCCGGTAGAGTACTAGTCTTTTACGAAAAAGGAATGCATGCAGTACTCAGTAGAGTTGTAGCCTCAGCCTGTAGTGTAGAGAGAGGATAGCAGTTTGCAGTCAACATCCCAACGCCCTAGCCTATTCGTTCGGCTATTCGTATTCCACACTCCATAGCTCACACTAACACTAATAGAGTATATGAGATGGCTTATTTTACTTGCCTTTTGAGTCTTACTTATTTTGGAAACTTGGCAAACATGATATATTCTGATATGCAACAGGGAGGGACTGTAAGGTTCGCAATTTATATATTTATAAATTATAAAAATATATAATATTAAAAATAAATCAGTTTTTTTGGTTAACCAATTTATTAACTATGAGGACTGAAACTGAAATATCTAATAACCGAATTTCAAAACCGAACCCGATCGAAAATTGAATAAACCGAACCAATTAGATTGAAACCGAAATTTTGGTTCAGTTTTTCGGTTTTAACTGAATTATGCTCACCCCTAGGTGATATTACTAATAGAAAACAAACTGATAGGTAATTTTGCAACATGCAAAACATCAAAAGTAAGGCAAAGGGAAGGGAAATGGTTCCTTGGCCAGCAATGGTGGAGAATGAGCCATCAACTAGTCTCACTTTATCCCTCCCAGAGAGAAGATGACATGATTGAAAATAATTTGACTTCCCAGTCACATGGTTTGACGTTCCAGAATCAATTATCCAAGGAGAGTTAGGAGAATGAGAAGATTGGATAAGTTTCTAATGTCTCCAGATTGGGAAGAACATTGGGAGCATTTGAGGGGAAAGTCATTACCCAGAGTCACATCAGATCATTGGCCAATCTGTTTGTTTCAAAAAACCATTGAAGGAGGCCCTTCTCCGTTTAGGTTTGAGAACATGTGGCTTACCCATCCGGATTTTAAGACAAAGGTGAAGGAATGGTGGGATCCCCAAGTGCCACAAATTATATGGGAAGGGCAAAAGCTTTTGAAAAAGTTGCAAAGATTGTAAGGGGAAATTAAAGAATGGAACAGGGTGAAGTTTGGAAGACTGTAAGAGAAAAAATTGAGGAGATTGATAGGAAAGAGCTCCAAGGTATGTTAGAAGGTCAAGATAGAGAAAGAAGATGGACCCTGAAAAAGGATTTAGAGGATACCTTGTTGAGAGAGGAGATTAGTTGGAAGCAAAAATCAGGAGAGAGATGGATTAAAGAAGGTAATGGAAATACTAAGTTCTTTCATGCTTTAGCAAATGGCAGAAAAAGGAAGAACTCAATCTCTTCTTTAGTAGTGGAGGGGATTGAGATTACAAATCAAGAAGAAATTGCTAAAACCTTTGCTGATCATTTCAGATCAATATTTGGTAGGCCAATCATTGAGAGATGGGGTTTGGGAAGTTTGGAATTGGGGGGGGGGGGCTTGGAAGAAAATCAAGTGGAAACTTTGTTTTGTAGAAGAGGTTTGAGGAAAGTGAAGTTATGGAAGCCATTTTATCTATGGACAGATCTAAGGCTCCTGGGCTTGATGGTTTCACTATGGCATTCTATCAAGATTGCTAGGAGATCATTAAGAATGACTTGATGAAGGTGTTCAGGGAATTCCATAGAAGGGGAGTAAGAAGTCCAGGGTTGAACTCAACTTTCTTAGCTTTGATCCCAAAGAAGTAAGATGCCACTCAGCTAGGATACTTCAGACCTATAAGTTTAGTGACCAATATTTATAAGGTAATTGCTAAGGTCCTTTCTCTGAGGCTTAAAAAGGTGCTCCCCTCTCTCATTTTCCAATACCAAGGGGCCTTTGTCCAAGATAGACAAATTATTGATCAAATTCTAATTGCAAATGAGTGTGTGGAGGCTCAAAAAAGGTTAAAGATGAAATGAGTGGCAATCAAGTTGGACCTGGAAAAAGCATATGATCTTGTGGACTGGGATTTTTTGATCACTATAATGAGAAGGTGTGGCTTTGGGGACTTATGGTGTAGATGGATCAAAGGATGCCTACAAACAAGTGATTATTCTGTTTTAGTGAATGGCACTACAGTTGATTTCATTGAAGGGACTAGAGGCCTTAGACAAGGAGACCCACTCTCTCCCTTTCTTTTTACTTTGGTAGCTGAGGTATTGAGTAAACTGATTTCAAAGGCTAACTCTATGCAATTGATCAAAGGCTGGTCAGTTGGGAGAGATAAGTTTTGGTTTCACATTGTAATTTGCAGATGATACCTTGATTTTCTGTGAAGGGGAGAGCAGTGAAGATGTGGAAAACCTAAAATTAGTTGTGAATTTGTTTGAAAGGATTTCCAACTTGAGAATTAACTGGTCAAAGAGTCTAGTGGTTGGCATCAATTTGGAAGAGAGTGAGTTGAGAGATTTGGCTGCATTGTTGGGGTGTGAGACTAGAGATTGCCTTTGTGTTATCTGGGATTGCCCCTTGGTGGAAACCCTTGATCGGTCAGTTTTGGAACCCAGAACTTGAAAGGTGTGAAAAAAGATTGGCAAGTTGGAAGAGGAATCATATCTCTTTGGGAGGGAGAATCACTTTGATCAAATCCACCTTGGCAAATCTTCCAGTCTACTACATGTCGATCTTTAGAATGCCTCAAGCTGTGATAAGAAGAATTGAGAAAATAACGAGGGACTTTTTGTGGGAGCCTGGGGAAAGGAAAAAAAGATCATCTGATTAGGTGGGAGAAGGTGAAGCAATTGAAAGGAGAAGGGGGTTTGAGAACCGGAAATGTAAAATTGAAGAATGGCTCTGTTGAGTAAGTAGCTCTAGAGGTTCCATAGAGAAAACGAGAAATTGTGGACTAGAGTTATTTCAAGTATCTATGGGCAATCAGGTAACGGTTGGGATGTGGCTGCCTGCAGAGAGCTACCTTGGCTGCACCCTGGAAGGCCATTCACGACATTCTTCCTTCGTTTCTTCCCCATATAAGGTATGATTTGGCTTTGGGTCAGAAAATCAGATTCTGGGAGGACATCTGGATTGGGGACTCCCCCTTGTCAGAGGTCTTCCCTTTCCTCTTTGCTCTCTCCAGACTCAAGGGTAAACCTATTAGTGATTTTATCAGCTCTTCTTCTTCCTTTTCAAACTTGAGTTGGAATTTGGGTTTTATTAGAAATCTAAGAGAATCTGAAATCTCTAGTGTCTCTACCTTGGTTAACTTGTTGAATTCAGTAGTTTTGGGGGATAGTGTTTCAGATTCTAGAATCTGGGCCCTCAATCAATCAGGTTTTTTTTCTTGCAAATCCTTCTTGAACTCTCTTGTTGCCACTTCCTCCTCTCCTTTCCCTGTTAAGGAGGTTTGGTCTCGGCCCATTCCTCCAAAAGTCGGTGCGTTCTGTTGGGAAGTATTCCATGGTTCCATCAACACTTGTGACTTGCTTCAGAGAAAAAGACCCAAGTGGTGCTTGTCCCCAAACTGGTGCTCCTTATGTAAGCTGAATGGTGAGACTGCTCTTCTCCTCTTTATCTCTTATCCTTTTGCTAACTCTATTTGGGAGTGGTTTTATAAACACTGGCATAAAACAGCCTTTTAACCGGTGGCATTCATGATGTGGTTGTCTGTGTTAGGTAAGTGTCTAACCAGAACCAGTCTCAGAAGAAAAGGGTGTCATTTGGATTCTGTTCAATGTGTCTTGTGTAATCCAGCTGAGGAGTTCGCATTATCATCTTTTCATCAACTGCTGCTTCTCATATTCTATGTGGGCTAAATTTTTGGGCTCTGAGGGGGTCAAAAGGTGTTCTCCAGCATCTTTGCCTCTTTGGAGAAGGTGTTTTTAGGSTGGCACTGAGTGGATTAAGCAAGAATGGAAGGATCATATGGAACACAAATCCCGGCTGCAATCATCTCTACTTTAGATTGTAATTTCTGTTCAGCTATAGTAATTCAATTCTTTTCTCCTTTTCCAAAAAAAGTTCTCAAAAGAAGTCTTTTTTTTTTTAAATCAAACTAACAATGTTCCACTTAGTTTTATGAAAACATGCATCCAATAAAACATTTTTCGTTTTTTTTGTGGTGTTTCTAGAAGCCAAAAGGAAAAAAAAGAAAAAAAAGAAAAAAAAAAGATTCATGCTGGAAAACATCCCCTAAATTAAGTATTATAGATTTTGCTCTCCAGTGATATTGTGCTTAATATTAGATCTTACAATGCTATAATGGTGTTCCCACTTTCTTAAGGAAGTGATGGCAATCCGTTCAAAGTAATAACATGCCTTTCTTTTTTTCCCCAGTGTTTGGAAAAGTGAAGGATTTCTTAGGAGTTATGGCTGAAGCTAATAGAAGGCTGCAGCTTGATGTACAGGTAGACACAGATTTTATAATAGGAGAGTATCCCCATCTGAATTACATCCCTCCACTCTAGTTTCTGATCATGTGTAAATATTACTTGAGTTTCAGGAGAAATCCTGTACGAACTATGATATTGAAGTGCTCACGGGGAACGAACCTCAATACATTGAAATGGTAAATGATTTTTTTTTGAGTGCTTGATAGCCTCACTGGTTCATTAATTTATATGGACTGTCATGGTGTCATCATCTGAACAGGATTTGATGCTTGGCGTTGCTGATCTTCAAACTCCAGAAGCAGTGGCAGCTGCTGAATGTGCAATGGCTGGTGGTTCTCAGTCGATATGCAACTTAGCTGCTAGCAGTAGTGAATCTGAATCAGGTTCAGATGATAGCAGTGATCCTTCTACTGACGGTAACCACAACGATGATGAGGATAACATATACTCGAGCAACTCTCAAAATCCAAATTTGGATGGGGCTGATTCTCTAGGTAGTGATCAGCCAAAAAAGCGGCCCAAGATTATTGAGCTGAAGTGAGGCATTGTGGTAGGAAATGCTCATGACATTTGAGGCAGAAATGAGAAACCATATACAAAGCAACTGGGAAGGAATATTTAAAAGGAGAAGGCGAGATGCTATGGCATTCCCATTTGACGAAACTTTTTGCTGTGTTATTACTCGTTATATATAGTTTTGTAYGAGGCTTTCCTCCGTTGTTTTCAATTGCTTACTCAATGGATGAGTTTATGATTGGCGAATGGTGATGCAAGGAATGGAGGATATGCGTGTAAGGTTTATGATTGGTGAATGGTGATGCAAGAAAGTAAGACCTCTCTCTCTCTCATAAAAGGGTGTTGGCAGTGTGCCAAACAAATCCTATTCATTCACTTTAAAAATGGTCAGAATTACAATCAGAATGAATGATAAGAGTTTAAAAAGGAAGGGGTTAAAGACCAAGTATGTGTTTGGTTCCGTTTTTTCATTCTTTTATTCAGCGTTTGTACTTTATTTGCTTGTAAAACCAAGAAATGTAATAATTATAACCGCTTGTGACAAATAGGCGCCACTAGTCACCACATCAGTGTAACAGTGAAAAAATGTCTAACTGTTTATGGAAGTTTTAAAAAATWTCTTCTTTAAACGATAAATATGCGTAAAAACTAAAGTCTACTTTTGCCATTCTCGTATGAAAGAACTGCCGAAGTGATGCTTATGTGGCAGTGTTTATTGAATGAACGTCCACAAAATCAAACATCCTGTTGTGACGACTTGTGAGATTTGTAAAACATGTTTAGCTATGGAATGTGCAGCACAATTACTTGGCCAATGAATCCAATTTATTGAGCAGTTTGATGGTTCATGTATTTACTAAAATCTATCCTATGATTTGCATATTAAAAGAACACCCCTTATCCTATGGTTTTCATATTATAAGAACACCCCTTGTTTGCAATTAATTATAATTGATCTTGTGATACGAAGTTATGAACTGTTTGTATTTTCCTTTTGGAAAATGGTCTTGTGATCTCTTAAAAATTTAAAATGAGCAAAAAAGGTGACTTCGGGGTTTTTCATTTCAAAAATATCCCCAACAGCTTTCATATCGAAACCCATTTTATTTTTTTATTAATACCACCTGATTGGTTAATATTTCCGATATTGTCTCTCCAGTAGCACAGCCGAACTCATGTTGTGTTGATTGAGAAGGAAAACTGAGAATTTTATTTAAAAAAAAAAGAATTTGCAACTAAATGTATCAAAATAAACACCGGTTGACCAATTTACCCCTCTAAATACCAGGTGGGTTTTCGTCAAAATTCGGGGGATCCAGATCCAGATTATTTACAGGAGAAGTGCACATGTTGAATTGGCACTTGGAAGTGCAGAAAAGCCATTAGTTCTTCATTGTGAGGCTTATTGACTGGTGGATCCCACTTGTCTGAAAATGGGATGTGGGCCATCTGGCAAGTGATGGTTCAGGTCCATATTTTCGTTTTGGTTCATTGTTTTATTATCGACCCAAGATGGGTCAAATTATCATCATTACCGCTCGTTACTCAGGCATTTTACGAACGGGTCCCAGTCACATTTCCGGATAAGGAAGGATAACATAAGGGATTAGTTTGGGGGAAAGTTTATGATGTGGAATAGATATGGTATGGGAAGAGTTTTGATCAATCAAAATCCATATACCTGATTGGCTATCACGTTTATGAATCTAATTTTTTCAGATATCATATCTTTCCGTATCATAGTCGAACCCGTTGTTTGAAAGAAAACAGCCTGTGCTATTCGAGGTGCAATCATCAAGACGGGGACCCATCATGTGAACTCAATTTGGCTAGAAATTGTGCCACGACCCACGACGCCTAACATACAAAAAAAGAGGCCGTCCAAGGAGAGAATGAATCTGTGTATTGGGCTCCATAGTCCATACATACTTCACAGATCGGATCTTGATGCCATTAACGATTCTCTATTTGCTTGAAAGTCACTGAGAGAAGATCTGGTCAACGGTCAGCAGGAGTCCACAGATCGGATGGCCTGGGAAAGGAGGCTGTTGACTCACAGCACAGATTGTCTTTTGACAACTTTCGTGCTGTCTCTAAACCACGATCGACAGATCAGCGGYTCACATGGTTAAGTACGACAGATCGACCATAAAACACTATTCAGGCTCCCACATCTTACAAAATCGAGTTGGGATCTCAATCCAACGGCTTTTACAGGAGTCAAGTGGCGAAAAAGGTCCAGCTGATCTCTTGTACTCAAATCCTGATACTAAACTGGGAGGGGATCGGGAGAACAACCCAATACCCTTGGATGATGGGAATCTCTCGTAGGACCCGAAGAACCCACAATTAGTTATTTAGTTTGATGGGATGCAAAGCAGATTATCATTTCTTCCAGTGATTCCTTCCTTTTTTATCGTTCAGGTTTGGCACAAAGAAGAGGCACGTGCAGAGAGAGATAACATTGTATTTCTGCGCTGTAAACTAGTACTGACTCACTGTCTGTATCATATGGTGGGTCCCACATATTTCTGGTTTCTCTCTGTTTTCTCCACCTCACTTCCTCATCCATTTACGTCCACCTGCACTCGCGAAAGCCGTATAAAAAGGAAGGAAACCAAATCCACATGAGAAAAAGGGAAGAGGCATACAGAGAGAAGTAGAGAGATAAGAAAAGAGATGAGGAATCCGAGTTCGTCGGCGGCGGTGGCGGCGGCATCGTCGAGCACGAGTAAGACGCCGTGTTGCAGCAAGGTGGGTCTGAAGAGAGGGCCGTGGACGCCGGAGGAGGACGAGCTTTTGGCCAGTTACATAAAGAGAGAAGGCGAGGGGCGGTGGCGGACGCTGCCGAAGCGGGCGGGGCTGCTTCGTTGTGGCAAAAGCTGCCGGCTCCGGTGGATGAATTATCTCCGACCCTCCGTTAAGCGAGGCCAGATCGCACCTGACGAGGAAGATCTCATCCTGCGTCTGCACCGTCTCCTTGGCAACAGGTACTACGACGAGTCGACGACCTACCTACACCTACACCTACACCTACACCTGCACCTTCTTCTTCTTTTCTCTCTATGCACTTCACTTTGCACCATCCTTTTAGATCAATCTCGTCTCATTCCTCCAGTTACAGTTGTTTTACCAATAGAACAACTTTTAGGGTTTTCAATTTTTGCGTATGCACCTCCACCTTCGTTTTAGGGTTTCGTCGTTGCACTCCCATTCCCTTGCTTCGTATGATGATATACCACGTAGTTAGTAAATCTTCTGACGTTCTCTCTGTTTCAATTTTCTGGGTGTTCTCTGCAGATGGTCTTTGATTGCTGGGAGGATCCCAGGAAGAACGGACAACGAGATCAAGAACTACTGGAATACTCATCTCAGTAAGAAGTTGATCAACCAAGGAATAGATCCCAGGACGCACAAGCCATTGAACCCTAACCCTAATTCCTCGGAGGAGAATGTCCACGCTGCTCCTCCTGCACCAAAACTTCAACCTCACCCTAACCCTAATCCCGTACCACGGCTCTGCAGTGGTGCAACCACGCCTTACAAGGGTAAGGAATGCTTCAGAGAGATGAGTCTGGATCAGGACCAAAGTCGGGAAGTGGGCAAAGACGAAGAAAACTGGCAGAATTCTGATGGCTTCATAATCGGCAACAACCACGGAGAGGATAATATCGATTGCTGCACTGATGAAGTCTTCTCTTCCTTCTTGAATTCATTAATAAACGAGGACATGTTCGGGAACCAACAACAACACCAGCAGCATCAGCAGCTGCAACCTAACCATCATCTGATTGCACCTCCTGATCATCTAGTCTCTTCTGCACAGGCTTTCGGCTATGGTGCAATCTGGGAATCTCCACTCACATCCTCCACAGCTGCTTTTAGCCAAGACGAGCATAAGCGGTTTGTAGATCACGTCGATAAGCGCCTATGAATCAGTTGTCTACACTCAGCAAGAACCTGCTCTGAGAGTGAATAGATCAAGATCAAATCAAACTGTTTGATGATTGCTATTTCATGTATCTTATATGTATTAATGTTGTTGTATCTGTTATTGTTGTTTCTAAGAAGCTGAAGATTGAACAACTGCTTTGAAATTTGGATGAATGAATGCATCTACTTGTTTGCAAATAAACTACAATTTTTTCGCTGTGAGGATTCAAATCATATATAGTTGCAGAGATTTGGTAACAGCTTGACAATAAATAACACAGAAACGAAGAGATGAAGAACAGCTTGATAATTTTTCAACTTCATCAACTTATGATCTGAATACATCGCCTGGTTCAGTGAGTGATCTTATGAAATGATTAATGATACAAAGCTCAAGGCATCGTAGAGATGTTACCTTATGCAGCTCTAATGCAAATACAGTTCTATCAATTAATCCACTACCAGATTATTCATTCCAATCAATATGGGTAAGGATGAAGATCATTTGGTGATTTTACGTTCAGAGTGACTTTGACTTCAATTAATGCGATACTGGCTAAGTGGTAGAAGACCCTGTTCATAGGAGATCTATTTAAATGAATTTCGATGATCTACTACTATAGATATGTCATGCACATAGATGCTTTCATCAAGCAAAATAACGTACTAATAGTGCCTTCAAAGAAAAGAAAAACATACTAATAGTAAGAACAGGATAATTTAGATTCAGAGAAGAGTATTGGGTGCAAGTATTACCTCCATTAATGAAGTTATTGTTTGATCCAAAAGAAATTCAACGTATTCCATTTTTGCAACTTTAGGTTGCATTATGTTTTCAAGTACAAATATGATTATTTTGTATCTTCTCATTCATTTGCTACGATGATATGTATGATGTATCTCTTTAGTTTTGTTTTTCTATTATGTGGTTTAAAGAGACAGTATTCCCCTTCGAATTTGCAATATATATGGGTCCATAACTTTAATTTCCTATCACCCTATGAAGTGCAATTAATGGCTATCCTTATAGCTATATTTCTTTGTTGTGCTTCAGGGAAAAAAAAAGATGAACATCCTCCCAAGCTCTCTAGAACCTGTCTACATGCATGAGCCTTCAAAACAAGCAAAAAAGACTATTCTTGGTGAAATACATAGCCGGCTACTTTTGATGCTGGGATCTATATTCACTGAGCAATTAAAGAAGGTTAACTCGATTATTGACAGTTAAAGAGCACAACTTTGATGCATCATTATTATACATCCAAAGATAGAAACCACACTGACGACCACGTTATGGGAACAAAAAAAAAGGTATTAATTGTTCTTGACCATGCATGCGGAGAATTCTTGATTTTCCATGCAATTTTTGTTCATGCCCAGTGATCTTTATCAACCAAGAAATGAAGTTAAGCCCTAAGAATTTGTGCTTCAAAACTATTAACCATGGAAAAAATACCCATAAAAGAAATCGGAAATTAATGCTACCAATCAGCACATTTAGTATCATCATTGTGGTTGTTCTCTTCATCCATGAGGATTTTGAGCCTATAGATGGCCTGGGGGCTATTATCTAGGATTTTGTACTAACAATTAATTAATGGGTCGTAACGTAAAGACCAGTTTATGAGCTAAACGCTATAAAAGGACTATGAGAAGGCCGAAAAGAAGGTGAGGATTGATATGAAGGCCTAGATAGAGCAGAAAGGTGAAGGTTTGTATAACCAGCCCAAAATAGTTGAAGTAAGTCTGTCTTGTGACGCGTTGAGTTGAAATGTCAAATAATACACCTCAGATATATTGCAAATGTATGCACTGATTGTCCAAGCCAATGGGTTATTCTATGCTAAAGCTTTATAACACTCAGAACTGCATATACATCAGTCAGAACTCAGAAGTAACTGATGACTAGGAAGAGCTAGCATGAAAATAAATTGGAGGGTTTGATAGTTTAATAACACCCTAGCTAGTTTCTACAAAACTGACATGATATCACTTGGTGGTAGATCTATATATGTTTATAATTGTCATGTAGTTGAATTCTTCATGATTCTCTACAAAAACATGAACAGATGATTGGACTTTTTTTCAAGTCACATGCAACAACAAGAAGATGTTGAGATTTGTATACTTCGGTTGAACAATAATGACTTAGGGTAGATGGGGTGGTGATAAGGGGAGGAGCTATAAGATTAAGGAGCCGTTAAACCTAGTAAGTGGGGTATAAATTAAAAGGAAAGCTAATCTATTTTAAACTAGAAAGCATAGATTACAATTCTATAATTGTCTCTTACACAACTCAACTCAAACTCAGCTAAGTAACCAACTGATGGTGGGTTAGTTGGTAAGATCTCTGATTTATTTGCTGCAGAGACCTGAGATCAAATCCCGCTGCCACCAAGGTTGGGGGTTAAGGCGATGGGGGATGGGCCAGACTATATGGGATTGGTTACCTGAATCATGATCCATGGCTCCACTTGTTAACTTCCATTTAAAATTTTAAATTTTGGGCTGTCAAATCTTTCATCACTACTTCATCCCATGTCCCAACTCTTCTCATTCTCAAAACTCATATATCACTTCTTAGTGATGCTATAGAGATTTTATCTGAACTTGACTAAATCATCTTAGGCTGCATTTGGCATTCCTTATTTTATGGAGTTATCTCCTTTTTGGTTGTTCATAAGGGCATCTTAACTGCAAGAAGGAGATAAGTCCTTAAAATAAGGAGTGCCGAATGCAGTTTTAGTCTATTTTTTCTCATTTTTTTACTTAATTAGAGCTATTTCTAAGTTCCTAGAAGTGGGTTTATCTTTGATTCTCACTTTTCCATCTCAACATTTGCACATTTTTGCTAAAATCGTTTTCTTGGACATGTTTTTTGATTGTCTGATATGCTTTACTCCAAACAAATATCTAGCCTTAAACTATAACAATTTTATAGAAATTTTCTTTAAGACTGAGTAGGTTTTCTCCTATTACATAGGGCCAACTCCATTTTGTCCATGTTGCTCTCATGCTATAGGAAACTTCTACCTTAATTGTCTCTAATACTAATAGACTCTAATTTCCACTCCTATAGAGCCATTACCCTATGTTGGTCCTAGCTATTTGGGGTCTTGGAAGGGATAGAGTGGATATGAACCTAACCTAGGACATTATTTTGGCACAAAATCGCCATCACAAACAAACTATAACTTGCATTCTTACACCTATCAGCCCAAGATTTTACCATCATACTAATTAAGCAATGGCCAATGCTATTATTATTAAATTTACACTACACTTGTCCTACTTATTTAAAAACCTCTTCTTTCTAGCTCATTTGTCCACAAATCTAATTTTGCATCCAATCCATCTCGGTCGGGTTTCATCAATTAATATGATATCATCAACAAAAAGCATACACCTTGAAATGTCCTCTTGAATATGTATCAATTCATTCATAATCAATGCAACTAATGATGTTTATTAACTAAGAGGATAACATTACCATTTTAACTAAAAAAAAAATAAAATACTATGGTTTATGATTTTATTTTTCACTTTTATGCATATAGAAAATTTGAAATAGAAGAGATCCATAACTTTCCTACATGGACAAAGTATGCATTCTAGCTAGCCTTTATAATTTGGCCACATCAATCAAAGAGGGGTACTGTTTCAAATCGTTTCAGGGTATCTGTTCATCATATGGCTAAAGTATTTGTAATTTGATTAAGAACTATTTGAAATTTTTTATTTAGCTGTTGYTAAATGTAATTATGTTTACTAAATCCTTTATGATGAGAAACAAATGTTAGTTAACTTCCACACCTTCAAATATCATTCATTGTATTAAGTAAACTATGGATGAATGACATGATGAAGTTATCATTTTGGAATGAGACCCAACTACTCACTATCATCTGTATGCTAATTTCTTAAACCTAAGAGAAGAGATAAAAGAAAGTTCTCTACATATGCTGGAGACTAGAAAAGTTGGGAGGGTTAATGATAGGTTATGGTTACTTTGGAGGGCGTTCCTTTTTTGTTTCTTGTGTGTGGGTGGGGCGAGATACTCAATAAGAAGTGCGCCTGCCTACTAGAACAACAGACACTAGCTGCAAAAAGTAGTGGAAGGTGGTTTTGGAAATTATGTGGATTATGTCCTACATGTAAGTAATATAGCTGAGTTTCAAAAACTATAAGAAAATAATGAATGTTAGAGATAGGATATGAACTTACAATTATTTCTAAGCATTATTTTTGAGCCAGGGGATTGAGTAAGAACACATCCTAATAGAACTACATTAGACAAATTAAGAATGAGTTGTTACAGCTTGAAGTAATTTGCTTTCTTAATTACATTGACCATATATAGCCCTTTTCCCACTACTTTAGAAGATGAAGACATGGGAAGATGTTGAATTGGAATCCTCACTATTCTAATACCATCTAGAAGATGAAGGCATGCCCATCCTCTCCTTGAATGCATGGGAGGATTAAGCGTCTGCTTGGCATCATTGCTGTTGCTCCAGAAAACGGTGCCATATCAGCACCACGTCAGAAAAACGGTGCTCTAGGAAATGGGTGTCTGTTTGGAATCATTTTTCGATAAAAAACGGTGCTCCAAACCATGCCTGGAAATCGGAAAGGCATGGTTTGGAGCAACGCCGAATTTGGCATTTCTTGGAGCTGCAACTCATTACTGCCAACATGGACGTGAGGTGGCAGTGACGTGGCACTAGATAATGGGTACTAGTGCTGGAAACGTTTCCTGGGGCATTGGTACCAAACAGAAAACGTTGTTGTTGCTCCAGGAAACATCCTACTTGGCAGGAACGTTTCCAAACAGAAAAAAAAGGCACCGTTTTTTGAGTGTACAAAGAGGTCTCTCTCTAATCATCATCATCTAAACCTTATCCCAACTATATGGAGTCTGACTACATGAATCCTGTTCATCATCCCATCTTGTTCATTTTCCATGACACATCCACAATTAAATTATGGAGCTTAAATTTTTTCTTATTACTTCAACTCAAATCCTTTTCGGTCTGCCCCTAGCTCTTTTAGCCCATTCAACTTATAACAAATCACTTCTCCTAATAAGTGTTGTAGGTAGGGTTGCAACTGAGTGGAGCTCTAATTGAATAGTTTGTGCTTGAGTTTGATTAGGCTTAATTCAAGTTTG